TGTATCATTAAAAGTAGATTTTTAAATATTATTTTAAAAGAATTATGCAAAGAGGAACGTTTATTCTTTGTATTATTCTTTCAAAATAATTCTTAAAAATCTACCTTTAGTTTTATTAATTCTTGCCCGAAGGAGTTGTTTTCTGATATTAATGCAGAAATATTGAAGGTTTGATCTAAGTATATTACTTAGAATTATATGATTTGAAAAATGATAAAAGTAAACAAGTTACAACATTGATTAATAACTAGTGTTTTCATCCTCAAGATATTAAGAATGAGTTGATTCGCATGAATGAGTTAATACAATGCAACAAGAAAAATACGTTGCAAATGATCTCAAGATGGAGATAACATTTCTTTTCGGAAATGATACTTTAAATTGATAATAGATTTCAAGTGTAAAATACAAAAATGATTGATCAACATAAGAAAAAATACAATTAGTTATAAAAGGGGATACTTTTTTATTGTATAAAATTGATTATATATCTTAAAAAAGAAATTTAACTGTATTAAAGTTTGTTCACTCACTTGTCAGACTGAATTTTATCTTAGGAACAGAATATAAACTAATAATTCATCAAGTAGACATTATGATTATTTTTCTTTAAAAAAATCCATCATAAATTTTATTCAAAAGATAATATTAGAAGTTTATTTATAGATAAAATCACGCAAACGAATTGAGAAACGTAAATTTATAGGTTTTATATCAATTTTTTTTTACAGTCAATAGAAAGTAATAATTATTTGTATGAAGAAATTTAAATTATGTTAATACTATGAGAGTAATTTATTAATGTTTTCAACAATAAGAATGAAGCTTATGATTAAAAAAATATTAATAATAATGCAAGATTTCTATGACCTATGGAAAGGCAAATCAATAAGATTGTTGTTAGTTCATTTGGAGTAGTTATAAAGTCTTTTCTCTCATAATAAAATTTTAAAATAAAGGCAAAAAGAAGGATTCGGGCAAATCTGCGTGTAAATATCTATACCTTAAAGCTATACAAAATAATAAATTTGAGGTGTAATCAATATATTTTAATTTAAGGTTATATCTAAATTTACATATGTATTTTTATTTTTAAGTTCACAAAAATTATAAATTAATATCAAAAGTTTAATAAATTCACTACTTTTCTGAAAATATTGATTAGCGCACATTTTTATAATCAATATGCAATCCAGTGATGCAAAAATAAGCAGAAAAATAAACAAAAATGGGTTATACAATATTAATTAAACACTAAAATGGAATTAAATTCTGAAATTTTAAAAGTTTATAAAAATAATGTTAATAATATTCAAACAAATTTTAAGAATTCCATTATTTAAAGTGTATAAAAATAAAAGTAACATTCATCAATACTGGAGTAAGATTAAATTCTTAAAGCTTCGAGTTTATAAATTAATAATTGGTTTGAAAATATTATTTAAATACAAATAATTTACATAATTTAATCGTTTTTACGTGGAAAAATAACAATCGAGTGTTACATTGTTCAATTTTCACTGAGATGCAGTCAGTGAAGGCTTACCGCCATTTATTTCACATCACACATGGTCTCATCTTATGGTCATCAGAGATAAATCCCGGGTAATAAATGTAGGTCCATAAGTGTCTTATTCTTAATTCGTTTTACCCCCTTTTATATCACCAGAACAATCACCTTTCATGTCATAAAATTAACCCTTTTTTTTCCATTACATTCTCATACGTATCAAGCTTTAACACCTTATAAAAATATTTTATACGCTTAGAATCTATTAAAAGTGACATATCGATGCTTTATTTATCTATATTTATATTTCGTAAAGAAGTTTCTATTCAATTTTAATTAACTAAGCATTTTTATGCCAGGTTTAATATTAAGATTTTGTAATAAACTAACCGAATAACTATAATTTTAATGAATATATATAAAAATAAATTTAAAAATTTTAAATAATAATAATTTTTTAAGAATTTAATAGAGATAATTTACACAAAAATATACGACGTCTATTAGGCCTATATTGTATTTCGATTGTAAGTAAACTTGAGTTTTCCCTTCATTTAAATGTTTTTTTTTTTTTTTTTTTAATTATACTATTCGATTCTAAGATGCAAAATATTAAGAAAAAAGAATAGTTTTCATGAACAAGATTATTTTTAAAGAAGGAATATTTGATAAAAAATATCACGAATATTTTTGTTATGTACAGTACGTGTATTTGATTTGCATTCGTTTATTTTTTCATGAATCTCAAGGGGATTTTTTCTTTAATATTTTTTTCTAATTCGGGTTATTTTATTGGATAAATATTTGAATAAAGTTTTGTTTTATTACAAATTTTTATTATTGCATTAATTTTAATAACTGTTTTCGAAACTTTTCACTTAATACATTTCGATTCATTTCGACTACATTCAAGATAAAAATCTAAATGAAAAAAAAAAAAATTATATAAATTATCACGTTGCTATCACCCAGTAGAAATAAAAGTAAACGTAATTAAGTTAAAAATTGCAATTTTACTATAGAATCGCTATTATCTGCTAGAGAAAAATTAATAGATTTTCCATAATCTTAATCAAGATAGAAAGACAGATTGCTGTAGAGAAAAAAAAAGGGGGAAGCTATAATGAACAATTGAGTTTGTCTGGCTAGTTGACGAATGGAATCTGATAATCGATCGGCAAGATTTTATATCATGTACTTTTTCATTCTCGGGATTTATCTAGCTTCGGAATGTTGTTCGAACAAAATTGACTAGTTGCGACTTCATCTCTTAGTTCATATATTTTTCTTGTTTATTATTATTTTTTTTAATAAATTAAATCTATCAAAATTAAATAGCGAATGAGTTTGTAGCTTGCTTCATGACAAAATTAATACTCAATCCAATTTGTTATTTCATATGTTACCATAGTTACAGTTTGAGAAAAGGGCATAAAATTATACACTGTCATTCTCTTAAATATGATATTGTTGTCTCAATTTAATAATTTATTATTGAAAATACATACGGATCCGTTAAATTTTACGAATTTAAAAGGATATTAACAAGTTAAAGGTCGGTGTTTTGTTGCATTCGAAAAATATGTAGTTATATTTGTTCTTTTTTTTTGTACCAGTTTTCAGGAAGATTATAAATTATTCAGGCAGAAAATAGTTCTATTAACATTGTATAATCTATTGTCTAGCGGAAAATTCATACTGATTGAATAAATATGCTTTTGTAAAGCATAAAACATATGAAAAATGTACACGGAAAAAACATCGAAATAAAAAGTCAATACAGGAAAAATAATAAATGAATCTAGCATTGGTTTCTGAATATTATGGAAAATATGTTCCATAATATCTAAAACAGATGGAAGGAATTAAATAAGTAAAAATAGAAAGGTTTTCAGAAAGAGAAATGTACTGAAAGAAGCAATAAAATATATCACTTTTAAAAATGAAATACATAAAAGCTGGAAAGATGTTGAAAGAATAAGATGTAACTTCATCAAAGATTTACAAACTGACTCAAAAATCAATATCGGATATTTTACTGATAAAAAGAATTATTAATTATTTTCCTGACGTGGAACAAAAATAAATTCATGTTCTGAAGACAAATAAAAAAGATTTTCTATAAGTTTTTCTCGTTTTATGTAGGACGTTTTGGTTGATTTTTTTTTCTATAGATTAGTTTTTCACTTTGTAGATTTGTTTTCGTATTATATGAACTTTTGATGGTTTCCACTTCCATATACTTTTACAACTTTTAAATTACTAATTTATTGTTAGAAATAAAAAAAGGACAAGATAATATTTCCAATTTATTTTATATTAATTTGATCATATTTATGACGATCCACATTGACTTTGTTAGTTTCATCGATCTTCTTTTGTCTCGTATTTCCTAAGAAATTAAATTGTAATTTTTTCTTTTTTTCTAAACTAAAATTTATATAAATGTTTTTGAATATTTAAGAAGTAAGTATTACGTTTCATTCATATAAAGTTACCGACATTAAAATTTATATTTAGTTAAGGTTATCTTTATCTAACGTAAGCAATTGAGCTTTCTGGGGGTTATGATTATAAAAAATATTTGAAGTCAGTATAAAAGTGTAAGATTTCATTGGTGATAGATATTTCGTTGTAAATGTTCGAAAGAAGGAAAGGAAATGCTTTTGGAAAGATCATAAAATTCAAAATCCCTTTGAGATCCTTTATATGTCTCTCGATGTATAATATTTGGTGTAGACGTTATACAAAGACCATATACGATAACAGAAAAGTTTCTACTCTATAACACGTTTTATAAACGATAATCTCGTTATAATTTCCATGCGGACACGTAAGTAAATCGCTTAACTTATTGTTTATTAATCTTATTCCCTTTCTACGCAACTTACAACAGTTTAGTTAATCAAAATTTAATCTGTTTAAAATTGCTATTTCAATAATGTAGCAATATGTTAAATCTAATTCGAAGTAGGCCTATACTGCTTAATTAAACTTCGTGAAAGCAGTTATATCAATCGAATTAACTTTTCTTAAATATAAAAGTTATATAATAAAGGATAACAAGTTTGTGAAGCTTTGAATTGTAAAATCTTTTGAATTTTCTTGCTTTTTAATTTCTGTAAAGCAATTAAGAAACAATGAATAATAAGAAGAATAAATCAGTTTATAAAAAGTAATCAAATACAATGAAACCTGTGTAAACCGGACTCGTATAGCACCGAATATATTTCCGGTTTGGCGACTTTCCGTTTTAAACAGGTTTTTTTAAAAGAAAATCGCCGTGTTTTTACTGTTTAGGCAGGTTTCAATTTTTATTAAGGTTCTGTTTTGGACAGGTTTTATTGTAATTTATTTAAAAATATACGAATACTGTCAAATTTAATTAAATTTTAAATAAAATACATATTTAAATTTCTTTTAAAATGTCAATATTTAATAATTTTAACTAAATAAAAAACTTGATGAAACTTTTTTTTTTTTTTTTTAGGTTGAATTTCTGGCTGACAGCATAAATTTAGATTTAATAGAAATGGCGAAAAGTAACAATAAATTAGTTCAACATCACGGGAGTGTCCATTATTACTGTCAAGAAATTGATGCTTCTGATCCAATCACGTTTACTACGAAAGAATCTTTTCTAGTAAGTTTAATTAAGTATTCTTCCTTATTTCTATATCGGAAATATTTTTGAAATTTAAACGTGATTAACGTGTCATTGTAATATACTTGTAGTTTAATTTGAAGAATTTTAATTATGTTACATTTAACGATTTTTTTTTCTTCGTTTTAAGAAGTTATGTACAGTACATCATTTCTGTGTTCATATTATTAAATGTATAAAATTAATATAATATAAAGATATATAAAAAATAGTTTTATTTATAAAAAATTATATATATAAACCTATAATTTTGATCAGTTTTGAGGTATAATTTTTTGATACATGACGTTATATCTAGACTAGAGTCTCTCGCGATTTCCTCCCATTTATGGTTGAATCTCAAGGGTATCTTATCTGACATTATAATCTTCTATTATGTTGAAGTGAAAAGTTCTTTCCAAACGAATCATTGCTCCAAATGTCATTTAAAAATGAGTCAATAACAGTAATTCAAAAACTGTCTGCTGAAATTTCTGTCGAATTTTTTTTCCCCTTTTTATTTTTTGTTGCAAGATAAAAATTATTAGCAATGTTTATTGTTTTTAAAATAATACAAACTTATTGATGTTTAGATTAAACTATGCACTAAAAACTTTTTAAGTCGGGATGATTAATTAACATAAAAATGATAACGAAAAAACAAAATGGAAGGAGAATAGCATTTCTTTCATTCCTTTCTTTTCAAACTTTTTCTAGTAAAATATAAACTCTTAGCAAGAAGAGATAGATGATAATGGCAAAAGTCGAATCTTTATACCGGGAAAAAAAAGCAAGTAAAATTTAAAAACTTTTCTCAAAAGTTCGGTTACTAAAACCGCTTTGTAATATTTTATCTTATTGCAGAATTCTAGAGCTAAATCAATATTAAAAAACGTCAGAAAAATGTTCTTTATACAAGCATAAATGACACGCTACAATCATTGCATTTTTCAATGATACTATACATTTTACGATGGTTTGGATTTGTTAAAATTTCACATTAATGATATTCTTGAATGTCAAACGAGACGTTAAGTACAGTGCCATCCATCAGTCATGCAATAATGTTCAATTTTGAGACAAACAACTGAATTCGGATATGATTTGTTAACCGTAATCATGTTTCATGCTACGTGTATACAATATGAATTTATTATTGTGTTATTGTTTCCCTTCTTAACAGATTTTTCGTTTATTTTTCTGTTTTATTTTTGAATATTTATTCAAGACGATATTTATTTATTTACTCTGAAAGTCTATTATTTACTACAAAAGAAGTCTGATTATTTTTGATAAGGTAAATATAGTGATTTTGTAAACTGATTTTATAAATATTTTCTGTAAAACTTATAAACATTTACTGTTTTTCCTATTTGTTACATATAATAAGAATACTTTTATGTAATAAAATATTCAATTGTTTTTGTGATTTTATTTCTTATATTATAGCATCCATCTTGTATAGTTTTTTCCTTGAAAACAATCTGAATCAATACTTTTATACATCTCTCTTTATCATTTAATGTATTTAAGTATATTTTAAATATAATCTGCTTTGTTATCCACATCTTCATTAGCTTCAGTTATGTTATTTGATAACATAAAAGTTATTTTTATACTCTTTATTTATGTATCGTATCAGGTTAATTTGTTTTTTTTTTTGCGTGTAATAAAATATATGCTTACTTTCTCTTATTTAGTTTGCTAAATTTTATTTTTTGATATTGAATATGTACCTTGTTAATGTGTTGTTGCATTCGCGCTTCAATATATTCTTTGTATTTTGTTATATCTAACGTTATGTTCTTTCTATGACTGAAAAGGTATAAATTAAGGTATAATACTATGCACCTTCTTATATTTTCCATTTAAATTCATTTTTATTTTCTTCTATTCAAGCTCAGTTTTATTTATGAAATAAACAGATTTTGAATGTTAAAACTTTGGAATAAATAATGCTGGAAAAACTTATTACGTTTAAAATATTTTCCTGTAATATTTTATTTAAACCTGAATAAATTTTAAAATAGCATAAATCTGTTTATTTTAAAATAAAATATTCAAAAGTTAAATAAAAAAAAAACCAATCAATATTTCTTTATTTAGCAAGTATAACTTCTCTATTTTTAAAAGAAACTGTATTTGTCATTTTATTCGTCATAACTATTTTATTTATCCGAATTATACGTTGAAATAGTTTTAATAATTCTTCAACAATCAAATAAATAAAATATTTAGCTATAAAAAAAAACTTTCTGCATTTTAATTTATAGACAAATAGTAAATATTTAATAAACAGTTAGATCTTGTGAATTTTTAATGAATATCTTTACTAAATTATAAGATGACGATTTCAAAATTCAATCAGGATGAATAATTAATAATACCGCATTGATTCAGAGAAATTAATAATAAATTATTAGAGAAACATTTAAACAGAATTATTAAATCAGATTTAACGACAACCCAAGAAAAAGAATTTTAATATATAACCTTTAAAAAGATTTTCTAATTATTATCATATGTATATATAGATATATTATTGATAAATATATTCTTATATATAAAATGGATGAAACATATGTCCTGAGGGTAGTATGAAAGGAAAAGCATGTTCTGCGAATTGTATAAGGAAAAAATATAAATCATATATACATTTTCTTTCATACATTTTACAAAACTTTATTCCAATCGAAAATTTAATCTCAGCTGGATAAGAAATTGTTTTATTGGATGCATTTTTATTTTGGAAGTTCATTGACATATAAACTAATTACGTACGTTAAAAGTTTCTTAATTTAACAAACGATTAGTAATTACGATTTTTTAAAAAATATATACATTTTAGTGTTTTATTTAATTTTAATTTAATTAATAATGCAAACAATGCTTTTTAATTCTTTATTAGTTGTTAATTGAATATAGTCAGTGATTAATATACAGATGTCTTTTATAAGCATTTTCCATTTGTCATCTTAGATGAAGTGTATATAAGTGCATTTTAAAATAATGTTTACATAATATTCAAAAGTTTTTATTTCTTATAAACAAAAGAAAGCTTCAGTCTTTAAACAATTCAAGATTTCCTAATAAAATTAATCCTTTTGTATTCTAATTTTTATTTAACATTTTAAATTATTTTGAAGATTGTAAATTATTATCATCATGTATTCAAATGTAATTGTTAAATATTTAAATAGTGCGGGTTTTTTATATATTTTTAAGAAAAGTGTACACAGAATCATCTGTATCATCAGCATTTTTCCAATGAAACTGGAATAGCCTATAATTTTTATTTTAATCGCTTTCTGCTTTTTCTTTCTTCCTATTTAGCTGTATTAAGTAATTATTGGTTTTCACATTCTTGTACTTAACTTTAAATCTCATTATTGAAGATTTTCGAATTCTTAAAAGTTTGATTTTTTAGTTTTAGTACATTTGATTGTTATTGAAGTGTGATTTACAGATCGTTTCATGTATCTTGGAGGAGCAATGCGCGGTATTCTCTCTGTTGGGGTCCTGGAAGTTTTTTTTAAATTTAAGAACTCGTTTCTGGTAACGCACGGCCATAGATTCGTCAAACAATCTCTTCCGTTCGTTAAGTAAATAAACTGGTCTTTGCTACAGCCCAGTCAAGATTCGTGAAACAAACTTTATTTCTAGAAATCCCAGCATTTTTATTTACATTTGTATTATAAAAATCTGGAGGAAAGAAAGACAATTATTGAAGAAAATAGCCTATTTAATTTCAGTAAGAAAAACCATTTTTCATATAAATCATCTGCCTATTATATTTTCGTATTAAATTTTAGAAAAATGATATAATTTAAAATAGAAATATTTTTAAATTACAAAAATTCGTTTTTCATGCACTTATATTACTTGAACAGAGTCATATTTCATACGTTACTCAGTTATTTATTGCAAAGATATCAATATTAAGAAATGAAATGAGTATATCTGGATTACAAATAAGTATGCAGGAATGCCGCGATGGTATTTATCGAAGTTTATTGACTACAGGGAAAAACTCGTTTTGGAAATATTCGATCGAAATTATATCAAAAGAAATTTGAATCTACGAGATTTCCTGCTTTATTACACAAACTGTAAAGTGCTAAAGTAATATTCGCAAATTGGGAAGGAATGTCATATGCACATTCTATTGCTTATGTACTGTATATCAAGCAAAAATTCAGAATACAAAATAGAAGCGGATGAAAGCAGCGGCATATGGATAGCTGATTTGAATTTTAAGTTCGGGATTCAAATTCCATCATGAGTCTGGAATTTATCAGCTCTTATCTGCTTTAGAACATGTTTTCTATCGATACGTGATATCCATTGTAGATTGAAGTGCATAATCTATGTAATGCAATGCTTTTCGATCGATGATGTCATTAGAATTTTCATAACATCTAAATTAACATGAAAGTAAAGTGCCAAAAACTTTCAAACTATCTAAAATTAAGTCTGGGAGATTTAAAAATATAAATGACTAAATTTCATCACTTAATCTCTCTCTATTCAAAATTATGTTGCTAAAGGAGAAGAAAAGACTTTATTTTAATCGATAAAAAGTTTTATGTTCCCTATTGGAAAAAAAATGAAAAGCGAAAATCGGTTTCAGCTTTGTTTTAAAAATATAAAATAAATATATTCACGCCAAGAGTTAGTTTTATGAAAATATGTTCGATAAAATAGCAGTTTTCAGAAAGAAATATTCGAACTATGCTAGGACTAAATTTTATATTCAGTTCTATATTTGTTCAGTTTTATGTAAATGAATCCATACCATTCCAGAAGAGAACGGAAATATACGAAATGGTCACGAATTTCGCTTCATTGTTTATGGAATGGAAATCAGTATGGAGTAAGACCACATTCAACGTCAACTAATGACAAAAAACACGGTTAATGATAAACAATAAAATATTCCATTCAAAATTTAAATCCATTTTACACGAATATTTCAGTAAAGTTTCAATAAGCAAAAGATT